GGACCCAGCTCCTCATCACATCACCAAAACCTCCCCATTCCGTCTGCTCTGCTTATGGAAAGGGATTGCTGCTGGATTGCAAAACCCACTGGAGCCTCCAGGGTACTGCTGACAGCAATCAAAATCAGCCTTAAGGGATGCTCCTGTGCCCTATTCTGCATTTAAGGGGCAGCACCTGCTAGGAAAGGAATGGAAACACCACCCAGGCCCCTGTGGTGCAGTCTGCAGCATCTGAAGCCCAAACAGCTCTTACTCTGCAGCCTGGAGGGCTCAAAAAGGGATGATCAGGGTGGAAACAGGTCCCCTGTCCTGGCTGTTGGGCCAGAGGCCCTAGATGGTGGTGGCCACCGGGGTCTGTGCAGGGCCAGGAAACTCTTCTGGGGGTCACACAACCAGATAATGAAACCCTGAAGTCACCTGGGGACAGGTTTAGGTGATGGAGAAAGAAAAAGCCAAATCAAAACAGCTTTTCCTCTCCCTTTCTCACAGGTTCCCCCATTATTGCACTGGTTCTTTGGGGTTTTTTTTCTGTTAGTCCCTGACTTTGCTGCATTACTTCCTTTTCCTTGGCTTCTTTCCTCCCTTTTCTGCACTTGTGGTTTCTTCTGTGCAAGCCATTCCCTCTTACCTGTCTTATGTGTCTGCTGTCTGTGCATGGTGTCATGGTCTAAGCTGCGGTTTGCGTGCACTGATGTGCTCCCATTTCATCTCCCATGTTCTGTTTTTCTAAGGAACGAAGAAAAAGTACAGTTTTCCTTAGGGCTGCTTTCATATTAAAAATCCCCCACTCTTTAAAGTCTTATCTGATGCTCTCTCTCCTCCAGCATCAGGCACCACAAAGGGATGTGCAGGGACCATAGTCCCAGTGCATGGCAGGCTGGCACCGCTGCCCTTCCCGTCCTAGCAGACCAGTGCTGGAGGAAGAGCCCAAGATCTCAAACACCTCCAGACAGGTCTGCAGAGGATGTGATGACAACATATCCCTGCCCATGGAAGAGGGTTGGAAGTGGATGATCTTGGGGTTCTTTCCGACCCAAACCATTCTATGATCCTGTTTCATCCTCCTGCAGCATCTTCTCCCCCTGCCTGGAGCTTCGGGACCACTGTAACGAGCAGATCACACCAAGGACATGGTGTTTCAGGCTGTCAGCAGGCTCAGGAAGCCTTCACTTATGCTTTCATCATGTTTCCAGCCTTGGCAGGAATGTATTTATCCATAACTGAGAAATGAGACTGTGATCTCATGTCTGCGATGAAGCAGATCCTGACAAGTCACACAAGCAGCTCCTGTTGCTGCAGGGACCAGAATAGCAACATGCAACCCAGGGCTCTGCTAGTGGATGGATTAACTTCAGAAAGACACATTGGGAGCACACACTGGGAAGAGCAGGATATTTTTGGTTTCCAAAAGGTCCTTATGTATTAAGATAAAGGGGGACAGTCGAGGAAGGTGGGTAAAGGTGCTGTGCACGGCTCTTCCAGCACCCTGGAAAACACATGGTGATTCAAACCAGATTGGAAAGGACTTGGAGCAAGCTGCTCTAGTGGAAGGTGTCCCTGCCTGTGGCAGGGGTTGGAGCTGGATAAGCTTTAAGGTCCTTTCCAACACAAATCAGGCTGGGATTCTAGAATTCTCCAGCCCCTCTCTTTCTTCTGCCTTCCACAAGGTCCTCCATGGAGGGAGGGCCCTCCATCCATCCCATGAGCTACACAAAGTCCTTTCCTGTTACAAATATCCCCCCATTCCCTGAGCTTGCCTCTCAGTTTGTTCTGTTCCATGTGTCGGGGGAACGCTCACACAGTGATGCCACAGCTCCCATGCAGCCTCACTACCTCTCTCCTGGACACGCTGTCACAAGCAGCACCAGGCTTCTTGGATGTGGGATGAGCACCATCAAAACACAGCGCTTCTCATCTTGAATGGGTTAAAACCTTGGTCCCTTCTCCCAAGTAACAAGTGATAGGACAAGAGGAAACAGCCTCAAGTTGCACCAGGGGAGGTTCAGACTGGAGATTAGGAAACATTTCTTCACCAAAAGGGTTGACAAGCATTGGAACAGGCTGCCCGGAGCAGTGGTGGGGTCACCACCCCTGAAGGTGTTTAACAGACTTGTAGATGGGGTGCTCAGAGACATGGGTTAGTGGTGGCCTTGGCAGTGCTGGGTCAATGGTTGGGCTCAATGATCTTAAAGGTCTTTTCCAACCCAAATGATTCTGTGAACATGCATTTACTGCAAACCTAGGGAATATCCCAGAACAAAGTCCCTATCCCAATTATTCTCCAAAATCTCAAATCTGAGATTCTCTGCTTGGGGAAAAAACATCTCCCAGACTGGGAGACAACCCACGGGAGGGGTCAGCACACATCAGCCGTGCCCGGGGGCTGTGAGCCACTGTTATTTCACCCCAAAACACGTGAAAATCAACCCAAAACACCCCCAAACGCGGCTGCTCGCGACCCACCCCACCTACAGGGTACCATGGACACGGGGCTGCCGAGCGGGTGAGCTGCCCCGGGAGGGGGGGAACAGGGATCGAAGGGGAGAGGACCCGAGCTACAGGGATGCTGGAGGAGGGGAGCAGCCCCTTCCAGGGCCGGGGGCCGCTAGAGGGCAATGGAGGAGTGTCCCACTGCGGGAGCGGCTGCGGCGGGATGCTGCGAGGGATGCTGCCCAAGGAGGGGGGGACCACAGGGACATTTCAGGGCAGCTTTCTTCCCTGAATACATCTAGAGAGAGAGAGAGAGAGAAAGAAAGTCTCTTTGAACTTTTCTGCTCTGTTAAAGCACTGCAAGTGGGGAAAGGGAGGGGTTGAAGGCACCTTTAGCATCCATGCGGCGTTCAGAACATCAGACGCTCCCAGGCTCTTCCATCTCAGAGCTATGGCTCCAGCGCAGAGCAGAGAGCCCAACTCCACGTGAGCTGCCTTTTCTCCTCTGCTCATTAGGCTGATTTAGGGAAAACCTGCCCAAGGTGCAGGTGCCAGCAGCAGGTTTCCACTTTGCTTGGAAACACTGGAGCCACCCTCCCTGGTGTGCCCCTGATTTCTATGGGGCTGCATTTCCCTGTTCCCACAATGTACCCTGTCTCTCTTCCATGGGATGTTCCTTTTGTCCAGGCCTGGAAACTGCTTGCTCCCAAGTACAACCCTTTGCTCGCAGCGTTCCTTTGGGACGAGTTGTACTGGGCTGCTTCCCCTCCACCACATCCCCATCACCACAAAGGGGGTCACCGGAGGAGCACCCCAGCCCTGCTGGCTTTGTGCCTGAGCAGTCTCCAGCTCCATCGCCTGCTCTGGGTGCTTCCCCTGGGTGCCACCAGCCCCTCCGTTTATCAGCCCGGGGCGGTGGGAGATAGGGGAGGAGGCTGATAAGGCTTCAAGTGGCAGCGTGCTGTAAACATTCCCACTGGTGCTGTTAGATTAGAGCGCTGGGAAAATGCCTCCAGCCCCTCGGCCCACCAGCGCAGCGGGCTGGGCTTGGGGGGGCCGCAGAGCTGTTGAAAAGCACCGAAGGAGGAGCCGTGTAGGAGCTGAAGTGCTTCTCCAACAGGCTGCAGGGCTGCTCCTGGGTCTGACCCGCGGCTCTAGCAAGGCTGGTTTGGCATCCGACCCTGCAGTCAGTCTCCATCTGCATCCGTGTTCACTGCCGCCTTTTCCCAGCTGGCACATAAACCCGCTTCTTCCTCCCTCTATCTCCACAGTGCTGGTGGCCAGAGGTCCCCTGGCTGCAAGACCACTGCTTGTGTGCATTAGCTCTTTCGCAGGAGCTCTGCTTTCCATACAAACCTCTCTTTGCACGTACCTGGAGGACTGGCACGGAGTGAAAGGCTGTGATTCTCCTTTCCTAATGATCTGTACCATTTTAAACCCATTTTCTACCAGTATAAGCGATGAAGTTTAGCAGATTGTTCCCCAATTCCTACCACTTGATGTGGAGCAGGGAGTGCAAACCCTTCAAGCAACTTGAAGGGGCTCTTAAACACAATCTCAGCGTGGTTTGTGTTGGAAGGGATCCATCTACATTCAGGTTTGGGAATGCTGATGGTTGTCAGGGTTTCTCATATTGGCTCTGCAAAATAAGGCTTATCAATAGTACCATTGCTGGAGTGCCCAAATGAAACACCCCTCCAACCTGCACCCTGAGACCATGCAGCTTCGAAGAAGCCTTGCTGCGTATCAGAAGAGCATTACCTGGCACCACAACAGCCCTGTCCTCTCCCAGATGCCTGGTGCATGGAGACTGGTCCACATGTAGGAGGGATCCTGCCCCAAGGTCTTTTCCTGTTCAAACTGAAGCATTTTTGAATGCCACTACAGCTTTTTCTTCCTCCTTGTCAGGGCTTAAATCCAGGTCCCATAGGACAGTGTTGGGATGGATGGTCTTGCTCTGAAGTGATGCTGCAGCAAAAGAGGACCGGACCAGATCCAGTCATTGCAGGCAAGGATATGAGTACAGCAGCACATGGGACGTACAGGGTGGCATGTGTCAGACAGAGCTGGGGCTAAGAAACAGCTTCAGATGGAGCTGGCAGGACAAAAACCCACAGGAAAATACATCCATGCAGTTGGTACCACAAAAGCCAGGAGAAATGGGTGTACTGGAAGGAGAAGGGGCTTTACCCCTGAAGAGCCTGTGGTACCTGAGGCCTCTATGGGGCTCCCACACTGCAGCCTGAGTTATACACAAGATTACAATTGCTCAGACACTGGGGCTGACACATCTGTGCTAAGGTGGGAAACAGTCTCCTGTTCTTCCTGCACCTTTCCAGGCACCAGGGACTGGTCCGGACATGGTGGCACCTTCTTCCTGTGCAGCAAACCAGTGTGAGGAGGTGACACCATGGCCAGGCAACAGCTGTGAGGCCCAGGAGCAGCACTGGTTCTGCTGCTGGAGTCACTTGGAAGGAGGTGACATGGTCTCAGCATCCCCACAAGAACCGGACACTCCTTGCCTTGTCCAGCATCAAGCAGCATCCTTCTGTTGTGTCTCTCCTGTGAGCATCACCCTGGACCTTCATCTCCAAGAAGTGAACAAGGAGCAGATCTGCTTGACAAGAGCTCTCTGTCCACCTATTCCCTTTCTCTTTAGCCCTAGAAGGACCCTGACACACTCCTAAGCTCAGGCATACCCAGCAGTGGAAGATCAGTGCTCAGCACTGCCTTTCAGTGCCGCTCGGAGGCAACCTTACCTCCTGCTCAGCATCTCCTTGGCCTTCAGGCAGCTTTCAAAGCTCACAGCTAGGCAACACTGAGCCATGGGAACCTCCCACTCCCACTTTCTCCCTTAATATTTCCACAGCGAGTCACTCTCCATCCTTTCAGGGCTCTCAAATCGATTATTTTTACATTTGCAGTGGATTCCCTGGCCTTGTTACTAATGAAAACCTCCAGGAAGGCTCCTCAAACACAGCTTTGACTTTCTGCCCAGGACCTGTGGACAAGGGGGAAAATAATAAATAAGGCAATATTAATAAAGCAGGAGGTTTCTATTAAGTCTGAGGGACTGGATGCTCTGGCGTTCTTGGATGCTGAAATCCTCTAGTGCAGGATAAATCTTATACACTTCATTTTCCCAATCTCTCCTTCGATATATTTCAAGAGAACGTTGCTGGTATCGGAGTAAATAATGTCCTAGCTGCAAACGGGGGGTCCGCAGCGGTGTGGGGTCAGCCTGGGGGCTGTGGCATCCTCCACTGTGGTCTGCTCACGGGCTCAGTCCTCTCCTTGTAATCAGGGGGTTGAGCTCAGTGTTTAATTAGCCTCAAACACAAATAACATACAAGCCAATGCAAGTAACAAGCAACCCCTCAGAGGCTGGGGAAGGAAGTGCCTGAGCTAACGCTATGGAGATGTGCACTGAAGTCCCAAGCTATGCAGATCACTGAGCTCCATAACCAACCCCACCTCGGTGGGACCAAACCTCCCCCAGCCCTCTTTCCCTTTTAGCAGCATGCATTTCCCATCTGCCTGCAAAGGGACCTCTCCTTCTGTGGGCTCTGCTGCCTCCTTTGCACAGCACCTGCTTTATTCTACCTCTCTGCTCCTCCTAAGGATTCCAGAGTTCCCTGGTAAAAGCTGTTATCCTGAAGCGTGCATGCCAGCGTTTGCCTCACAAAGAAAAGGGGGCAAGTCCATGGGGTCCTGCGAGCCCAGGGTCAGGCAGGGAGATGGCTTCCCTTTGCTTTTATGCTTTTCCCTGCTTCACAGAGCACGTTGAACGTGAGCTAAATGCAGCACCATCAATGCAGGTGGGTAAGGGGGGGGTTGCTTGTGTCTTGTTTCAGCACCAACAGCTCACACGCAGGGACCAGTCTGCGATGGATGCTACAAGCATGGATGCAAAGGTCACCTTTTATCTGTATCTTGGCACCTCTTTCACCTTGGATTGCTGGGCATTGCTAGAGATGGGGCTGCTGTGCTCATAGAAGACACGAGGAACTGCTCATTGCCTTGGGCCGCTTTGAGGGGTAAATACTTTGCTGACTATAGACATAACCTTCCTAAGGAGCAGGAGCTTGCATGTTCTTCACAGTCACTCAAGCCGGTGGTTTTAACCCAGCAGGACTCTGAGGTGTTGCTATGACACAAATGCTGATGCTTTCTGATAGCACCAGAGGTACCTTCCTCCTGCCTGAAAAGTGCCAGGCCAGTCCCAGGCTGCAGAGGCAGCAGAGTTCAGCCAGCATCAGGCAGGAGCTCACAGCATCCCAATGCTGACATGCACATAACCCAAGCTCCCTGCAATAAGTGCTAAATGAGGGAAGGGGATGGCACCGATTCAAATTAATAAGGTCCAGTGTAGCTTATAAGGCAGTTGAGGGGCTTGAGAAGCCAACAGTGAAGGGCTCTGGCCCAGAACTGGGAATGTAGGGCTGGAAAACACCATTTGGATGTGAGGCACCAATCCACTGGCAGTTCTGAGTAGCCAAAAGAGGGATATTTTGGACTCTTCATCCAGCTCAGAGGCCACTTTGTCTGCAAGCACATCCCAACCCTCTCTATAAGATCAAGATACACGAGTCACAGAACAGATTCATATCTCACTATGAAAGCCACAGTGGCCCTGCCTCAGAATGCGCTGTGTTTGTCCTATGTTACACCCAGAACCCAAGGTGTAATTGTTGGATACGAAGGTTAGGAAGGCCATCGTCTCCAGCTGAAGTTTCCTCTGGTGGAAAGATGCATCCAGGAACAGTGCCGGAATGGGCAGCTGTGGCTTTTGGATGGAGATTCGAGGGCTGGAGCAGCATGGATCTGAACCATTCCTAGGGCTGCCAAAATTGCAATAGGTTCTCACTGTCCTTTGCTTGTCCAGAACTGGGAGAGCCAAGAACTGAGTCTGGAAGCACTGCTGTGCACAAAGCACTTGGCTTTTGGGATGGATTGATAGTTGCTGTGATTTAAGATGCTGTGTGTCTTCACACGTATAGTTGGTAAAGCTCCCCTTCATTTTCCCAGTAGCCAAACATAAATCATGTCCAGAGCCCTATTCCATCCACCCTTACAGCAACCTATCCTACTGCTAATGAAGTGCAAAGGTCACAGCATCTTCCTAACACTCATCTTCTGTGCCCTCCACCTTACTTGATCCATCACAGGTCAAACTCAATGTTACCTGGATGAAACACACAGCCTGCTCCTCTCGGAGATAAGGGTCCAGGGATGATGCTGTGAACAATTCACATCCTTGGTGTCTCCATCTGGCTCATGAAACAGGTCCTTGAGCTGATGATGCAGCTTTGGGGCTGGGAAAGCATCACACCACATCCATGAAGTGGCTCACCAGGTAGGGCCAACAGACGTTTCCTCCCCGCAGGATGTGCTGCTGGAAGCCCTGGGAGGAGCTGGGTATAGGATCACTCCATCTCCATCCCCCTAAAGCAGTTTAATAGGTCCCAGCAGGACTCATTCACGTATAAGCATGTGAATTTAGGGGAAGGGGCAGAGAGAGGGTAACTCCCTGCGAGTGGCCAGATGCAATAAATGCAGTCACTAACCACTTTTCAGAATACACACATAATAATATGTGGGATTTGTATTTTTACCACCCCAGTGGGATTTTGGCAAGTCAATCAGATTTTCCCACCCTGACCCAAATAAACGTTCAGGAGTGGAAATAACAGATTGCTTTTGCCTGGAATAACCATGTGCTCGTTCCAGGGGGATCTCGTCTGAGCGATCCTTGCTTCTCTGGACCACTTAGACCTCAAAAAGCTTTCCCCTTTTGTCCCCCTCGATAAGGACCCACTCACATTGGGTCTGCTCCAAATTCCATCAAAGTGGGTGGGAAGTCTCCATCTGGCTCATGTTAGCAATCCCACAGCCATTAAAATACCCCAAAGGATGGATGGTAGAACCTGAGCTATTCTGGCCTCCTCGGAAAACTCTTTGCCCATGTTTCAGACCTGATCCCTGGGATGTCCCTCCATTAGGAATGGACACAGGGGAGTGATCCACGGGAAAGGGGCCCTCAGTCACTCTTCCTCCCATAGTAGGATACCTTTAAGGTCACGGGCCCCCCAGCTGCCACAATAGTCATATACAGTTATTTGTATGGCTATGACAGTGGCCTCCTGATGTCATGAGCTACATCATCTCCTTCCATTCCTTCCTTTCCATATACCAAAACCAAACCACTCTCCTCCTCCCTAAGCCCTTCACATGAAGCAAAGATTGATAATGAGAGAAAAATTAGGATTCTTACATACCGAAGGATATAAGGTTATATTTGCTTTAGGATTAGAAGGATCTGTTTGCTTTACAATTAAAAGGATGTAAGAATCCTACTCATAAAAACACCCTCTGTTAAGGATTAAATGATATAAGGATATACCTGCTTTAGAATGAAAGCAAAATTAGGATTTTTATACCCTAAACCACTCTCCTCCTCCCTCAGCTGCTCCATCGGGAGCAAAGGTTGAGAATGAAAGCGACATTAGGGAACACCAGGATTTTCCATCTTCCAAAGGCACTTTGAATTGGGTGTGCACAGCGTGCAGTGGTCTGGCCTGAAGCTTCCATGTCCTGACACATGGCACATACCTGCATGTTCATTAGGACTTTCCCCTTGCTGCTTCTCATGCTATCTGAAGACATCAAGTCCCAAAATTGTAGTGGAACTGTTTTTCCCTTGTCCTATTACTGCAATCAAGTTCCTCCCTGGTGCTTCTGGAGTAGGTATTTCCCTCCTCCAAGGGTATGGGCTTACTCCAAGCATGGTGTACTCTAAGGATGGGCTTACTAGGATGACCAATGGCTTTCTGAAAACTAAGGTGGTTGGGATGTGTGGTCCCATGGTAAAAAGTTGCCTTCGGTTGTTACCTCTTCAAACCTGCGCTGTACCTGGGCACATAGAGCACTGAAACCTTCAGGAGCTCTATGGGCTTCAAAGCCCTTGTTGTGGTCAAGATTAAAGAACAGAAATGGTTGGGTCTGCAGTGTGTGGAGACCTCAGGTGGTTCATCTCGGGCTGGTGGTCCCCTGCCACCCGCAGCTGCTGCTGAAGGATCATCATCTCAGTTCAGGTTCCACAACCCCGACACCAGAACAGCTGTCAGCCCCTTTCTCGCCCTGGATCGATGGTGTCCCAATCTCTGCGTTCGATGGCATAAATTATGTATCTCTAATTGGATCGGATGCTTCCTTGGTCCCAGTGAATCAATTAATGAGTATTTGCCATCGGAGCTCTTGGTGCCCTCCAGAGAGACTTGTCACAGCAACACCAGTGGAAACTGGTGCTGGAAAGGTTGGGAGGAGGAGGAAGAACTCTTGGGGGCTCTTTCTTTGGAGGACAGGCTTAGTTGCAATGGATGTCAGGCACCTGATCTGGGAGGAGGGGCTTAAAACCTTTATTCTTATTGCAAGGCTTTTCCTTGGAAGCCAAAGCTCCTCGAGATCCATGTGGAGAAGTCTTAAGTCAGCATCATTCACTCTACCTCTCCATCACCTTCCTCTTCTGCTGCTTATAAACAGTTATCCTGCTATTATAACCTCAAGCTGCTTTTCATTTGTCCTGCAACTCTTTTAACATGCTTGGGGTGGATGAGCAGGACAAGGATACCCTCACGCTGACACACTCTTGGGTAGCAGTGATCCTCTGCATGCCAGAAGCTGCCTTCAGCAGTGAAGGATCTATGAGGGCTTAAACGTTCTCAAGTCCTGACCAGATTTAAGCATGTGTTAATGGTTTAAAGGAGCAACCCACTAGAGAAAGTCTCATTTGTCAGGAGCAGTTCCTCTAAGTTTCATCATAACTGAATTAAGGCAACCCAGAACGGAGCAAGTTAGAGCATAGACAGGAGCACTGATGGATGGTTTGCACTGCCTGCTAAAATGGTCCTTTGAAAGCTCCTTGAGCTGAGGCTCTGCAGATCAGCGTCAGCGATTCCTGAGGAGAAGCAGGGCAGCCTGAAGAAGGCTGAGCTGGATTTCTGACCTATTGTGCAGAGCCACACATCAACACAATGCCTGGCAATAACGCTCCTCATCCCCCAGATCATCCATGTCCCATAGGAACTCAAACCATGGGCTGCCACGGACTGTGATGAATGGCGAGACTCAGGTATCACCTTCAGAAGCACAGCACAGCTTCTGGAACTGCATACTTCAGATAGAAGAAAATCCACCACCATTGCAGGTCCAGATCTTTATAATTCAGAGCTTTTGAGCATTTTTAGCTACAAGACCACAGAATACCCTCACAGCCCCAGTGTACACTATTCCTGCATCCTGGATAATATAAATGGCCTCTAAAAAGCAAAGCAGTGCTTCTGACAAACTCCTTAATGCTGCTGCAACTGCTCAACATGAGAATCAGCAAATATAATACAAAGAGATGTTCCTCTGAGCTACAAGCAAGGAGGGCCATGGAGTTGAGGTACTAACCAGCCCAGGCAGGGAACCAAGTCAGTGAGTCACTCCTAAAGTTATCCACAAGTTCTGTTCCTTATTCCTCAGGAAACCGAGGAAGATGAGGCTCTTTCAGGGTAGAGCAGGTCTCCGTGCAAGGCTGGATAAAGGGCAGAAAGTTCCTACCCCAGTCTGGGGTCATTATGTATCAAAGTATTTTGGTATGAATGTGTTGAGACTAGCCAGCTTGGGAGTATTTTAATATAGGAAATGGGGTCTTTGTCCTGCATCATGGCAAGCACAGCAGTGACATGCATTAAACTTGGTGTGCCATGCAGGGAGCTATGCCCACAGTCATAGAATGGGTTGGGTTGGAAAGGGCCTCAAGATCATCCAGTTCCAGCCCTGTCATAGGCAGGGATACCTCACACTAGACCATGTCACCCAAGGCTCTGTCCAACCTGGCCTTGGACACTGCCAGGGATGGGGCAGCCACAGCTTCTCTGGGCACCCTGTGCCAGAGCCTCAGCACCCTCACAGGGAAGAGCTTCTGCCTTAAATCCAACCTAAATCTCCCCTGTTTCAGTTTGAACCCATCAGCCCTTGTCCTATCGCTACAGCCCCTGATGAAGAGCCCCTCTTCAGCATCCCTGTAACTCCCCTTCAGACACTGGAAGCTGTTCTGAGGTCTCCACGCAGCTTCTCTTCTCCAGGCTGAACAGCCCCAGCTTTCTCAGCCTGTCTTCGTATGCAAAAGACTTGGAATAGGCAAGAAAAAAGGGAAGAAACTCACCCAAAACCACATGGCTGGACAGGCCTGGGACCTGCTGATATCAGTGACTGATGTCCTCACCAACTTGAGGCAAGTGCCTGCATCTCATGTTTATGGTTCCTACAGAGCATCAGCACAGAGCAACACCCAGAAGGGCAAAGATATTATTCTCCCCATGGGAGAGTATTTTCTCTGTCCCACCATAAGGCTTTTTAGCCCCTACACCAGCCTTCTCCATGCTGATTTCCAGCAGATGTTGTGCTAATCAAGAACAATGTAATCTCAGTGCCTTAATATAGTGCTGGGGTGCGATAAGTCTGAAATTGCTGTCATCATTAGTGTGAGGACGATCTGGTCATTGTTCAGAACTGTCCTCCTCTGATGATTACGTGAAGGGGAATGTATTCTCTTCTATCTACTCCCACTCTGCTTCCAAATTTAAAACTATTCAGGCTTTAGATGCTTCTATTTTTCTAAAGCCTTAATAAGAGGCCAGGATGCAGATGTTCCAATAAGGCCATGGCAGATTAGAAGTGGAGAAGCAATATTAAGCTCTACCAAGGATGCCAAACTCAGCTCTGTCTGTAGAAGTGGAGTAACAGTCAGAAAAGGGCTGCAGTACTTCAGCTAAACTAGCTACTACCACCATGTGCTGGTGAGGGCAGAGTAGATGTCTTACAGCTCAAGCAAATATTGCAACTTAAAGCTGAAAGCCCCAAGATTAAACACAGGACTTCTGGGGTGGCTTGGTGTCTACATTGGCATAACCAAACTGAGATCAGAGGATGATCCTGGTTTGGGTTGAAACAGTAAAGACATCCTCACAGTAAAGAGTCTAACCTAAATTTCCCCTGTTAAAGTTTAAACCCCATCACCCCTTGTCCTATTGCTACAGTCCCTCGTGAAGCTCAGCACTTCCTCACTCAGCAGGGACAGGTCCATGCCTACCAGCATTCACCAGCTTCAATCTTTCAAAGGTGAGAAGCCATTAAAACATGTACACAGCTACTGATGCCCCATTTCATCCTCCCAGAGAACCTCAGAAGGCATATCCATCTGCAAGTAGCCCTCAGGTACATTCCCCTTCTTCTGCATCTTCATGTGTACATCACCACATGAAATCCTTATTAGTTCTCATTCCAAACTCCAGAGCTTTCCAGAACAGCATGCCTGTTATTCTGGAAACCAGCTATTAAAAATCTCACTGTCCAGGCTTGCTTCTGCACTTCCAGCTTTGCCAGCAGCCATTCTGCACTGGTAAAGCTGGCAAGGATGAGGGAGAAGCCAGCAAACAGAGCTTAGAAATGCCTCTGTTACCCAGGGACAAAAGGCAAGTGGAGATTCATCTAAGTTATACAGTCCTAGGGGCTGGGGAAATGGTAGCTGCGCTCCTTCTCTTCCAGACTCTCCTGGACAGCTAAATCCCACTCTAAGCTTATGAAATACTGCCTGCTCTTTATTTATACACCTGATGTATTTGCTGATGGCCAGAACCGACGTCTCCGTGGTTCCCTCTTTCCACCCCTGCAGCCTTTGGATCTGGACGCAGCCCTGATAGAGCAGATGAGAACACAATGGTAACTCAATCTGGCTTGTTCGGTGTAAAATGTAATAAAAAGGGGGCCCAGAGCCCGAGCCTATAAATTTTCCACCAGCACCGTGCCTGTCACCCTGCTCACACCTTCCTCCTGCATCTCCTCCCTGCTCTGCCTGGTCCCATCTCTGCTGCCACTTTGTTTTGCTGATGCAGGCATTTCAAAGGAGCTGATCCAATGGGCTTTAATTCAATGGCAAGGGGAAGGTGACTTAAGGGAAAGGTAGGAAATAGGATAGACTTTAGGTGACTAAAGGGAGGCACGTCTGATACACACAACAGGCTCTGCTGTGCTCCATGCAGACAGAGCAGCCTGGTAGCACTCATCCCCAGCTTGTGTGCAGCACACGAACCACCACCATAAGAAGCTAATTACAGCTTAACTAATGGCTTCCTTATTTACTGGAGCATAAAGCCCCATATGCATTACGTACTGTCCCCACTTCCCAGGCTCACCTGGGTCTGCTTTTGACCAGCTTGTAAATAGAGTGACGTGAAGAACAGACCTTACCTGCTGCCATCTCCACATCCTTCATGCTCATACCGTGCTATCCATTTTCATCTTCCTTGTCTAGAAAGAAATCAATACCACGTCAGTTCACACCTTGTCCTGACTGTGCGTTGTCATCTGAAGTAGCTGGTGGCCAGTGGGGAGGAAGCACGGGCTGGAGGCTGGCATGCTCATTTGGGATGTGGGATATCGTGGCTCAATTCCCCAGGCTGCCACAAGCAACTGCTGTGACCTTCTGCAGGTTGGGAGGTTGCTAATGGCATTTGTAGTGCAACAGCCCAGCTCCTTGGATAAGACCCGGTGCCACCCCACAACCTAAGATAGGAGAAGAAGGGCCTTTATGAGGGCTTAGCAAATAGGGATAGAGGTTGGAGCTCCAAGTGGGATATGGGCTTTGCAGAAAACTCTCCCAACATGAGTTTCTGCAGCAGAGACTTCCATCTCCAACTGGAAAAATAAAAACAAATCCATTGGAAACCCCCACAACTTTTATCTAGAACAGATGGTTTTGTTAGTTTGAAGTTTTCCTGGCAGATAAACACGAGGGAAGAGGGATGACGCTGCTTATTTTAGTCATTTGAGTTACACAGCAGGAGAGTTAAGGGCTGGGGGACCCCAGATAAATACTGGGGCAGAGATAGAGACTCCACATCACACCTCCACTGTAAGCACCCCTTGCTCAGCTCCCTGATACCTCCCTCACATCCTTGTGCTGCCTGAAATCCCTCTGGCAGAGCATCCCAGCCTCCAGGGGCAGAGACACGGACCCCATCCTGCACCCCGGGAGCTAGCGGGGACAGACCCAACACCAGCCTTGCAGAGATGGAGGATACCTCTCCTTCCCCTCCATCCCCACCAGCCAGGGCTCCTGCATTGGTTACCCAAATCCTGCAGGTCTCCTTTGCAGGTCACTGGCTGCAAACAGCACTCAGAGGCAGGAGCTGCTCCACCTCCAACCAGCAATGAGGAAAGGGAGAAAACACAGCCCTACTCATCATCCCTTCCCTTTATAAGACTCCTCCTGCAGCCGTGGCAGAGATCCAGGGCTGGGATGCACTGCACCTGCACCAGAGCTGTTATCTGTGCCCAGGCACAGCTGTAATGAGGGAGGGAGGGAGACTGAATGTCCCCAGTCACATCATCTCTATTGCTTTGTTTTCAACCACCCCATGACGCACGCTGCAATAAATAGGCAGACAAATAGCTGTTTCGAAACGTGATCTCCACAAGCTGTCTTGAAAAGAAGTTATCTCAGCGGAACGTTAGCTGGAATTACCTCTGTTCCTCACTCCTCTGCTGCTTCCCTCGCTGGAAAAGCCCTGAGCCAGCACCTTCTGATTTATGGTGCTCAAAAACACAGCTCAGAGGCACGAGGGGAGCTGGTTTGAAAATGCTTTGTTTATAGAGACATGGATGTCAAAGTGGGTTCAGCCCCAAATTTTACCTCCAGCATGACGAAAACTATACTACTGGGTACGTGTCTTCCAGAGTCAAAATATCTGTTACCACCTAGAGAAGCCAGGCTGTACATGACAATACCGGGACCCCCTCCATCCCTCTTGGCCATTCCCATCTTGCAAAGAGTGGGACAATACTTGGGTCTCGTGAGACCTCACTTGCAGCATTGTGTGCAGTTCTGGTGTCCTCCACACGAAAAGGACATGGAACTGTTGGAACAAGTCCAGAGGAGGCCACGAGGATGATCAGGGGCTGGAGCACCTCCCATATGATGATAGGCTGAGGAAGTTGGGGCTGTTCAGCCTGGAGAAGAGAAGGCTGCATGGAGACCTCAGAGCAGCTTCCAGTGTCTGAAGGGGGCCTATAGGGATGCTGGGGAGGGACTCTTCATTAGGGACTGTAGTGACAGGGCAAGGGGTAACGGGTTAAAACTTAAACAGGGGAAGTTTAGATTGGATATAAGGAGGAAATTCTTTCCTGTGAGGGTGCTGAGGCACTGGAATGGGTTGCCCAGGGAGGTTGTGAATGCTCCATCCCTGGCAGTGTTCAAGGCCAGGTTGGACAGAGCCTTGGGTGAGATGGTTTAATGTGAGGTGTCCCTGCCCACGGCAGGGGGGTTGGAACTGGATGATCTTAAGGTCCCTTCCAACCCTAACTATTCTATGACTCCCTCCATCCCTCTTAGCATCCCCATCTTGCGAAGAGCGGTGCAGAGCACGCCGGCGTGCCTCTGGAAGCCCATTACTGTTTTATGGAGGTCACCCTCACCTAATTATGCCACTGTTCCTCCCAGCCCCAGCCTGACCCTGCCTGATCCTGAAACGGATTAACATGTCTTGGTCACTTGAGCGTGTGGTGTGTGTCTGCTCCGGGAGGGCAGCGGCTGCAGGGCTGCCCGTATCTCAATGTTATTTTGACCTCGGCCGTTTCTTTCCGTGGCGAGTCCTTCGCAGACCTGTTGAATGGGGCTTTCATTTCGCTGACCCCCGGGGTCATCTGTTTTCGGAGCATGAAATATGGCTGCCGGTGGACAGGAGGGAAGAGATAAACTTCACTGAGGAGCCTTAACAGGCCAATGAGCCGTGACTAATGATGATTGTGGTTTGTCTTTCCAGGGCATAATTTATTGGGCTGCTGACCACTTAGTGCACCGGTTGGGGAATTAACTCCTTCGGGTGCAGGCTCGCGGGGCTCTGCCCAGGAGGGGTTTGTCTCTCATTGCTCATCCTTCTATTATTGCAGGGGGAATGAGCATTTCTTCCCTCATTTTTCCCTCACATGAGTCTTCCTGGTTGCTTTCATAGAATGGTTTGGGTTGGAAAGGACCTTAAGATCATCCAGTTCCAACCCCCCTACAACAGGCAAGGACATCTCACACTAGACCGTGTCACCCAAGGCTCTGTCCAACCTGGCCTTGAACACTGCCAGGGATTAGACATTCACCACATCTCTGGGCAACCCATTCCAGTGCCTCAGCACCCTCATAGTAAAGGATTTCTTCCTTCTATCTAACCTGAGCCTCCCATGTTTCAGCTCATGACTTCATCCCCCCCAAAAAATGGCTCTTACAGCTCTTCCCCAATCATATCTCCTATTGCAATATGTGTTCCCCCAACCACTTCTTGCAGCCAGAAAAGGAGCCCTGAAGCACAGCGACCCTTTTAGGTGAGGGACCCGGCTGGCAGACGACTGACGCGAGCCACAGCTGCCCCAACAAGGGAGCTCCGTGTCAAACACTGCTCTTACATCTTCATCACGGGGCTCTCTCAAAGGCCTGCAGCTTTCTCCTGGGAGGAAAGCCCGAGCCCGACAGCACGTTCCTGGTCACGCTGCCATCCATCTCTGTCAGCCCATGGTGAGATGGGGAGGGAAGGACCAGGATGCTCCCTCCCGGCTGCAGTGCTGGCAGCCTGGAGAAGGATGGCAGCAGCCCCATGGCCTATGCAAAAGCAGGGTCAGTGCTAGGATCTGAGCCCTGATTTCACCTGGGTTTTGGCTTTCTCTTAGCATTCTCCTGTGGAAGGTTTGATTGCAAAAGGTTGGGTTTGTTACGGTGGGCAGCATGGGGAGAGGCTGACACCACAAGGAGCTCATTGGAAATAACTCATTTCATGAACATCAGTGTTTGTGGTGGACCTGTGTCTTCTCCATTGCCCTAAAAGGCTGATGGGGAAAAGAGCACAGGTTGTAGGAGTGTCCTACAGCCTTTATTTCAATGGCCAAATTCTGCCTCTGTCTGCATTGTTTCCCTGCCCACTGAGCTCAGCCCCATCACTCAGTTTGAAAGTGCCTCAGTTTCCCCACCTGAAAACACAGGGCAGGGGGAGGATGCTAACACTGACTGTCCATGCAGTGTGTTTGGAGATCAGTGGGGTGAAAAGGACCTGACACGTTCTGGGGAAGGAATCTGGTGCAGAGAAAGCAGCTCCCTGCACCCCACACTTGTCTGGGTGCTGATGCAGAGCCACCCATCATGGAGCAGTGCAGGGGCAGAGGGGACTGTGGAAATCACAGGTTTGGTAAGAGTCCTGAAAGAGACATTTTCAAAGCAGAGTGAATTGATTCAGTTATCAGTCAAGTTGTATTTAAAACACTGACCCCATCACTTGGAATGAGAGCAGTCTCCTTTAGACAACCCCCCTTGAAAGCACAGGAAAGAAGATATCAGAAAGTCTTAAAAGATATCAGAAAGAGTCCCCCAAGGGCTCTCACAGGTCCAAATCTACTTCACTCTTTAAAAACCTGGAAGTATTTACATATTAGGAGCCACTCACAGCCAGAGAATCTCCCTGTCTTTGAAGGCAGGGAGCTATTTCTGCAACAGCAGTGCCCACCAGTGGGTGTCCTTTAGGATATGGGGACTTCAGGAGGGCCAAAAACCACAGGGATGGAAGGCATGATGAGTCCACAGTGGCTGGCTGGGACACAGAAAGGAGATGGATTGGTGGCATGACCACAGGTACCCCTGCATCCCTTAGCATTAGGCTTTCCTGCCCTTCAGAGCAAGGTTTGAGAAGGACTTTGGACATTTGGGCTGGACAAGGCATCAGCCTCAGGCCCTTATGTGCAATAAGAGCATTGGCATAGCCTAGGTCTGAGCTGCAATACTTGCACAACCATGTGCACTAACACACCACGCAGCTCAATCACACTATAACTCATTACTAGCCCCTTAGAGGAGATATCCCCATCCTGTCCAGGCTGGCTGAAGGGTTCTGGGGCGGCACAGGAGGACTGCAGCTCCTCCAATAGTCACCTAAAAGAAGATTTCACTGGAAACTGGGAGGCTTCACTATCCAAAACCCAGAGCAGCGTGAGCTCCTAACTCAGGTGAGGGGTCTGTGAGTGCTGAAGCTTGCTCTGTAGTTAGATGGGTTTGGCAGAAGGAGTCTTAGAAAGAAAAGTTTTTACATTGATGTTGCTGGGAGAAATAAGCAGTAAAAAGGAACTGCAGGTAGAGACTAGGGCGCATAGCTTCAGGTTTGCAGACTTATATTCACTTAACTGCTTATAAAAACCTAAAATGGTATCAGATTTATTTATTTCTCTCCATATTTCCTGCAGAAAGAAAAGATATTTGGAAAGAAAGGCATGAAAAGCCTCCTTCCCTGCCACTGCAGCACACTGGCACCTCCTGGGCTGCCTTCCCAGCGCTGTCCAACCCGACATTCCACCTCCTGTTTGATCTCCCCTCGCAAGAGACCTTCCTCTGACTGTTATTGTTATCACTAAGTGGTGCCCAGAGAGGAGAGACAAAGTCACACTGATGGGCTCTTTTCCTCCCAGGTGGAGGACCACACACGAGCACGGCAGCAGCACAGAGCAACCTGCGCCCCGTGAGGGAGGAGATGGGGAAGATGCACAAGATGTGTGAGAGGTGGCAGGAGACGTGGAAATAAAGATGTGAGAAACGTGAGACTGAGGCAGCAGAGAGGAGAAAAGAAAGGGAGGATAAAGGGCTGGAAGCAAGGCAGGCTGAGAGAGTGAGCTCACCGCATCCCACGGTAGATGCAGACCTTTAGGGCTCTGCAGCCACAGTGATTAGCCAAGACATGATCCAGCCTTCGCTGGCCTGATGCAGGGTAAGAGGTCAGCAGCAGGCTGATAAAGCAGAGTATCTTCAGCTCCTCCTGGGGGGTGAGGCAGCTAAAATGCAACTGCAAAGGTCTCTGAGCAAACAGCCTTGCAGTGCCCAAAAAGCATCAGTACCCACTGGGATCAGCTCTGCCTTTGCACCCCAAAACGGGCCCATGGGGATGTGGATGCAGATAAGTCTTGCAAAGAAAAAAGGCAGCTGTTTCTTCCTGTTTTGCTCAGATGATGCTGTCAGAGAGCTTAATTTGGGGAGGGGGGAAATGGTGCAACTCTGTCCTTTTGAAGTGGTATTGTTACCTGCTGTCACGAAACCTTAATGGATGGGAAGATGGCTCTTGGCTGGGCTGAAATTCCCAAGCCCAGCCTTGTAAAAGAGGATCTGAATGTAAAAGAGAGGGGGAGATGTTTAACAGAG